TTTTAATGAATAATTTTTTTCAAGGAGCATACAAGGCGTAGCATTATAAAATTCAAGGAGGCGTGGAATTTTTTTTTAATCAGCACCTAGCGTTATGTTATATGAATGTATTTATTGAAAAATATGAAAATAATTATTTAAAAATTAACCCTTATACTTTACCTCGAAGAATATATTTCTATTTTTAATCGACACCTAATGGTAGACCCCAAAAATATCTTTTAAGGGAACCCCACCCATTCTCGATTTTAATTTTTCAAGATTTTCAATGGGCTGGCAAATCAATACCAATGCTAGTTAAGGTTTGTAACTTTACATATATATATTTGAAGATTTAAAAGAGAAGAAAAATAATTTACAAAAATTTTTTGTTATTGTTTTTTGTAATTAAAGAAAATTCCTTATTTTTGATGGCGGGCATGATAACTCCTCACTGGAACATCGGAATCCGAAAATTCCAACGGTGTTAGAAAGGGTACATGTCTGGCTCTCGTATGAACTAGGATTATTGACTTCGCTCTAAAATTAACAAAATGGTGGACTTTTGAAAAAATATTTTTGAAAAATCGCCGAATTTTGACCAAAAACCAAGTTAAAAAATAAGGAAGATCTTCACCGATTGGTTTTTTCCTAGTTCATACGATAGCTATACACTCACAGAGAAACGTGTAAAAATTTAAAATCGATTGGGTTATTAGTTTTTGAGTTATTGTGCCCGCCATTCGCAAAAGAGAAAAACGCGCTTAAAGTTTGAGAAGCCCTTTAGCCGTCACTTGATGCTGACACAATAAATCGGCTATATCTTCAGGAGTTCTTGAAATTTTCACTTGAAATGTTGTAGAGACATTCTCGAATTAGTGTAGAATCGAATTAAATCAAATAAAATTTTGACCCCGAGAATGGGGGGTCCCCTTAAACCAGTAAATAAAGATCAAAAGTCAGACGGAACCGATTATATGATACCCCTCACCACTTTGGATACATACAAGAGATGATAATGTGTATACGATCATGCAGATATAAAAGACATTGCATCTTGCATTCTGAAATCAATGAAAAATGTCACGTCAATCAGGCAGATTTGAATTTTTTGGTGCACTTTGTATGAAATCCAGAAAAAACCAGTAAGGAAAGTAGTAAAGTCGGACGGGGCCGACTATATGATACCCTTCACCACTATGGGTATATTAAACAGGACTATTAACATGAAATTGGATAAAATAATATATGTGATAATGTGAATCTACCTGGATATATCCATAAAGTATATAAATCGACTTCAAACAAATATAAATAGGTCATACGTTGGGCTATGTCTGCACTTCTAGAAAACGCAACTACGTAGTTCTATGGTCAATTTTGTACGTTGTGCAAAATTTGATGTCAATCTGACTAACATGAGGAGTTTGATGTCCAATTTATTTGAAATCGGGCGAACATATATATGGAAGCTCTATCCAAATATTAAGCGATTTCAAGCAAACTTGTCACAGGTTAGGTTATACTAATTTCAGAACGTTTTGTTCCTATTGGTTCATTGTTGCATCAATTACTTAAAATATTTGAGCTATATATGTGGGAGCTATTTAGAAATCTGGACCGATTTTCTCGAAACTTGGCAGACATCACTCTAGGCTCAATTCAGTGCGTTATGCCAAATTTGGTGCAAATCGAAGGATATATAGGGACTTAGGTGCACCATTTAAATGAAATCGGACGAAACTATATATATGAACTATATCTAGATCAGGACGGATTTTCATGAAACTTGGCAGACATCATTCCAGGCTCAATTCAGTACGTTATGCCAAATTTCGTGCAAATCGAAAGATATATAGGGACTTTGGGGCACCATTTACATGAAATCGGACGAACTATATATGGGAGCTATATCTAAATCTGGACCGATTTTCTCGAAACTTGGCAGACATCAATGTAGGCTTAGTTCAGTACGTTGTGCCGAATTTCGTGCAAATCAAAAGATATATAGGGACTTTGGGGCACCATTTACATGAAATCGGACGAAACTATATATGGGAGCTATATCTAAATCTAGACCGATTTTCATGAAACTTGGCAGACATCTTTCTAGACCTAAATGATTAGCCTGTACCAAATTTCGTGCAAATCGAAAGATATGTACATTAAATCGGTTAAATATATATATGGGAGCTATATCTAAATCTGAACCGATTTTTTCCCAATTTCAATAGGGTTCGTCCTTGGGCCGAATAAGTGACCTATGCCAAATTTCATCCAATTCGGATCATAAATGCGACCTGTACTTTGTTTACAATTTAACACCAACAGACGGACGGACGGACGGACATGCATAAATCGACTTAAAAAGTGATTCTATGCATATTCTCAAAAGGAACCATGTGTCTATCTCGTTTCCTTTTGTCTGTTACAAACATATGCACAAAGACATAATACCCTGTACCACAGTGAGGTGAAGGGTATAATAAGTGGGACGAAATTTTATATGGGAGCTATATCTAAATCTGAACCGATTTCAGCAAAACATCTGGATCTTATTCTGTACTCTGAGCCAAATTTCGTGCAAATCGAAAGATATATAAAGACTTTGGTCCATGATTTACCTTAAATCGGACGAAAATATATATGGAAGCTATATCTTAATCTGAACCGATTTTCTTGAATTTCAATAGAGTTCGTCCTTAGGCCAAATAAGTGGCTTGTGCTAAATTTTATCTGAATCGGATCATAAATGTGACCTGTACTTTGTTTACAATTTAACATCTACAGACGGACAGACGGACGGACAGACGGACGGACATGCATAAATCGACTTAAAAGGTGATTCTATTCATATTCTCAAAAGGAACCATGTATCTATCTCAGCAAACAAATGCACAAAGACATAATACTCTGTACTACAGAGTGGTGAAGGGTATAAAAAATCCACGACTAATTTTGGACTTCCATTTCTTATACCCTTCATCACACTGTGGTACAGGGTATTATATCTTTGTGCATTTGTTTGTATTTGATGCACGAAATTTGGCATAGTGTAATTAATTAGGTCTAGAATGATGTGTGTTGAGTTTCCTGAAAATCAGTCCATATTTAGATATAGTTCCCATATATATTTTCTTCCGATTTAACATAAATGGTGCCAAAACTTCTAATATTTGTCCGATTAACACAACATTTTGCACAACGTATCAAATTGTGACTTGAATGACGACTCTCAATCTGCCCGAATGAAATTATATTTATGATAGGTTGCAGATAGACATGATTATGTTCCTTCGAGGCAACATTGAAAAAAATGCAAGGATACATATGTATAAATACCCAAAGTGGTGAAGGGTATCATATAGTCGGCCCCGTTCGACTTTTGAACTTTCCTTACTGGTTTTATTACGGTGGTAAACGACAAAAATATTTTTGTAACAATCCACGCCTAACAGTAGAATTCATAAAGTATTTTTTTTAAGAATCCAGGACTAACTTTCCTAAGTGACTACTTATAGAAGATACAAAAACTTGAAGCACAATTACTTTATTTTAGTTTAAACTTTAATTAAATTTTTTTATTGTCACTTTATTCTTTTTAAATAGCTAATTGACAATTTTCTCACATAATTTAATCATCATAAATTAGTTTTATTACCTAAACGTTGTGTCTACTTATATTATTCTAGGAAATTATTGCGTCATAAATTACAACAAGTTGAGCACACGTCAATATGTTGTTGATATATATTATTCCGTTCTTGCTGAAAACCTCAACAACAACATTTCTTTAAAACTCGTTTTCTAACACCTGTCTGCTAGAACATAACCCAGTCAATGGCATTCAATAATTGTCCAGTTAATTGTCGATAATCGGTTATGAAACGGTTTTGAAATGAATTTTAATGGTCTTACGGTGCTATTATTTTTAAATAAATGAATTAAAAATAAAAATCAAAGATATTATAAAGAATACTGATCGCTGTTCCGAAAAATATTTTTAAAAAGGCGTAGATTTTTAAATATTTTTTTCCAGGGGTCTAACAAAGGCGTAGATGTTTTAAATACATTTTTCAGGGTCTTACAAAGGCGTAGTGTTTTGAAATAATTTTTTTTCAGATCCTACAAAGGTGTAGTGTTTTTAATTATTTTTTAGGGGTCTTACAAATGCGTATAATTTTATTTTTTGTTAATTTCCATTATAGGAATTGTCCTCTCCACATATCTTTGCGGTTATGTCTGTGATATTTTAGGACGCCGAACGGTCCTAATGTGGGCCATGTTCATAACAAACGTACTCCAATTAATATCGATGTTTGTCTCCAACATATGGGTATTTAATTTTGTAAATTTCCTTATGGGCATCAGGTAAGTGACAGAGATAAATTCCGTTTGCATGTCACAAAGGAAGAAAATATCCGAAAAAAGGACACAGGAAAAATAATTTATTATCTCTCACTTTTTTATAGTTTGGGTGGTGTGTCCTCTGGGCTGTATCCCTACTTGGGTGAATTTACCAGTAACAAATATCGAGCAGTGGCCATAAATTATTCCACAATGTTTGTAAGCGTAACGGCCATTTATGTGCCCGGTAAGTAAAAAAGAAGAAGCATAAAGAATAACCAAAAACAAAAAAAAAACAAAAAGGAATTTAATAAATTTTATTGGTATGTGACCATTTCCCCTCTTTCCCATTCCTCTCTCTCTTTTCTCCCAAAATTTTATTTATTTCAGCAATTTCATGGTGGGTATTGTCTGCCGACTGGTCATGGGAAATATCCTCCAGTCTGACATTTCGCCCATGGCGTTTAATTATATTGTTAAGTATGTTGCCGGGATTTATTGCTGCTCTAATGTTGGTGGTATTTCCGGAAAGTCCTTTGTTTTTAATGGCCCAGGGTAGGCATGTTGAAGCGGTAAAGGCATTGAATTATGTCTCGAAATTAAATACAGGTTTAGATTTGGAAATGGTATTGAAGACTCCAAATGTTGTACTGAAACCTGAGGAAATCTCAGATGCGGCTTTGGTCTCAGGCACAGGAGGTTGTAGTTTTATATCGAATATTTGGAAGGCCACTCTGCCGTTGTTCCATAAACCCCATGGTATCAATGTTATCCTGGCGGTTTGTGCTATGTTTGGTATGTTATTCTCATCGAATGGTATGCAAATTTGGTTTCCGGAAATTGTAAATAGGTCGGCGGGTGGGGCACAGAATGTCAGCTCTACAATATGTGCGAAGTTGGAGGACTCATATGCCAGGGATCATATGGCCGCCATGGATGCCACAAATATTGGGGAGACGGTGAGTTATCGATCCACAAACTATTTGAAGAAAAAATAAATAAAAATTCCTCTTGTTTAGGCCTGTGATGACACCATAGCCACGAAAACCTATGTGGACAACATTGTTGTGGGTTTGGCCTTCTTTGTGGGCTTTTCGATACAGGGTGCCCTACTCAATCCTCTGGGTAGAAAAAATGTACTCCTCGCGGCATTGGCTGTGGGTGCCGTCTGTGGTCTTCTTCTACATGTGGTAACAAATACCACCGGATTGCTGGTGCTGTTTTGTTTATATATTCTACTGCCGGGTCTTTCGATGTCGATCATGTGTGGCGCCCTGGTGGATTTGGTGCCAACGCATTTGAAGTAAAGAAAAAAAAAGAATATTATCATGGAATTATTTTTTTTTTTAATTTAAAAATTATTTCTATTTATAGGGGCAAAACTGTAAGTCTTGGCCTAACAATGGGTCGTGTGGGCATTATTGTGGCCTCGAATTTAATCGCAGCCATGCTGGAGCCATATTGCAATGGTATATTTGCCATTATAACGCTGGTGATCATAGGTATGTGAATGATAGAGGATTTGAAGGATTAGAAATGATTTTTAATCGTTTCTTTTATTTATAGCATGTGGAGGTTTGGTCTTTACATTGCCCATTTAAAGTGAATGAGATGAAAGATGTAGGACAATCCGGAACATATGTATTATCGAAGTTTTGTTTTAAGATATTGTGTTAAATAAAAATTTGACTACGGAATATCATTTATCGTATTTTGTTAACTAAAAATTATACAAATACAAAATTGAGCAGTGAGTGTAGCATTCATATTGGCAGCTATTTTTTGGATCGATATTGCACACCTTCAATGCCTTAAGTCCTAACTATACCTAAAAACATACAAAGCTACAAGCTACAATTATATTGGAGCTATGTGCAAATGCCACATTTTCAAAAAATTCTAAAAAATTTCTTCGAGAGGGTATTTTATACTTTGATACTCTCATATGCCTAATTACAGTAATTTCGCTAAAAACTATTCGACTAGAACATTCTAAGGAATGTTGAAGGGGCGGGTCTGAAAATGGATAGGAAATGAAAAGAATGTACATAAAATTAAACTTTTATTCTATTGTTCCTCTATGAGAATCCGAATCACTAATCTAATCTGAGAAACCGAAGCCTAATCTATAATCACTTCGATCTGATGATAAAGCTAAAGCAACGTTAAAATACCAGGACATATGAATTATTATTGAAAATTTTCTTCAATTACAGGCTCTTTGATTGGGAAAAATACCTAATATAGGTGATACCAGTATAGACGAGCTACATATGTTAATGCATAGACCTACATTGCGAAGAGGTATTGCGGCCACCAACACTCCATTACCATACTGAAGACAAACTCTCCCCATGGTGAGTGGTGAAATCACAAACCCGCGATGTCTCCGGGGTCAAAGAACTTTATGGAGCCTGATATACTCATATTCGTAAACAAAAACAACTGACATGGCTTTACGAATAAGTCAAGAAGAATTCCAGTGTAGACCCGGTTATTCCCTTAAGGCAAAACCGTCCGGATGACCCAAGGATTGGATACTTGACGGAAGAGATCAATACTCTGGTAAACCGGCACAGTCGGGAAAAATTGATCCACCGTCTCAACAAATGTGACGCTGGCTCTCACAAACTTTGGTCTACAATACTTTTATGGTCTATCATGCCCACACAAAAACAAGGATAACATTGTCATAAGCTTCAATGACGCCCAATACTCTGATGCCAAAAAATCATCATATCATCATGTCTTCTTGAGTAGACAATGATGAAATTAGTGAAAAATTTAAGACCTATCTAACCTCCATCGCTACATTCATGCAGGAAAGAAACCTTATTATATCACCGTCAAAATCTACGACCACCTTTTCACCTTTTGAACGCGTGAGTTGAGAATTTTGAAGAATTCCGTCTGTCCAACACCCCAAGATTTTGGAAGTTGTGTTCGACAATTTATTGAAATCTACCAAACACGCATCATACAATAAAGGGGAAAGTCCAGGTTCCTCTTGGGGAAATGACAAAGAAACCATTGCAGCAACATACAAGGTCGTCAGTCGCTCAGTCTTCAGCTCTGCTGCCCAAATTGGATGTCAAGTATGGATCACATACATGAGTAGACGAGGATATGGTCGGTACGGCAACATAACGTGTTGCTTGCTAGACAGACATTTAAATAACCATGTCCCGTCAATAAAAAAAAAAACAGTACTTAAGACTAACAAGTACAAACGTAGCGACACGATAAATTCGTACATCACCATTCCTTTGTCACTGTCCGTCCAATCATCTAATCTAATACTTTACATATCGAAACACACTTACGAAAGATAATGCTGTACCGCCTACTATGCCCATCCACCAGATCAGAAGACCTGAGCCAATCATCTTCATTCAACTGAAAACCGCAATTAAGCTTGCACTGAATAGCACGTGTAAGCATTTGTTGAAAAACTGCAACACACTGGCAAGCAAACACCTTGACTTTAGCATTCCTTAAGCCATTCCACCATAATCCTCTCCAGCACTTTCCCAAGAACAAGAAAAAGACTTGTGCCCCGATACGAGCGCAGATCATTCCTCACTCGTTCGAAAACGGCTGTTGTGCCACAGAACATTGATGCCGTGCTTGAGCTGAATATCCAAGATAACCTTGTGACATACCATGTTATCAGTAGCTTACAATCAATGTTGCATGAATAGCTGGCACTAGAAAGGTTTGATATCGGTAAATCCCGCACAAATAAATACTGAGAATATGGGACACGAGTAGACCTATATTTCCGTCTGGGGTCCTAAGACCAACTTATGATCAAAGAGACCATTATTGACTGATGGTAATTTTTAAAGGTTCAGAAATCTCTTTACCTTTTCATCATGAAGGGTATCGTTGATAGAACAACCCTGCGGATATTGCGAAAACCTAAATTTAGTATCCTGTCAAAAGTTACTGCCTCGTGAAAAATCTCACAAACACACATAATACTAATAACACTTCGTCACAGGGCGAAACCGACCAGCTCATAGGTTAAAACGTAGTTCGAAAATATTTATCGGTTTTGGTCCTCTATATTTGATAAATTGGTTTCCAATAAGAATTTGGGAAGTAACGTAGCCTAAAATGATTTGAATTTGTGTCCTATTTATATTTTTGTTATAAAATGGCATTGGCCAATTCATTAGAACGCTGTGGAATTGATTAATTTTTATCGTTTGCCACGGATACCTAAACAATGATATTTATACCCTTCACAATACTGTTGTACAATGTATTATGTCTTGGGCATATGTTTGTAATAGGCAAATGGAGAATATTGTTCCTTTTGAGAATATGCATACAATCATTTTTTTAGTCGATTTATGCATGTCCGTCTGTCTGGCCATGTTAAATTGCAAACAAACTGCAGGTCGCATTTATGATCCTAATTGGATGAAATTTGGCACAGCTCATTTGTTTGGCCCAAGGACGAACTCTATTGAAATCGTTTCAGATTTAAATATAGCTCCCATATATATTTTCGTCCGATTTTATGTAAATGGTGTACCAAAGACCCTATATATCTTTCAATTTGCACGAAATTTGGCATAGCGTAATGAATTAGGTCTAGAATGTTGAATATACCCACAGTGGTGAAGGGTATCATATAGTCAGCCCCGTCCGACTTTACTACTTCCCTTACTGGTTTCTATATATAAAAATATTTGCAAATATAACCCTCATATATACTCGTACACCCACACATACAACGTTTAACCTCTTATTTAGTTATCACCACCAAACCATTCCCGCAATTCACAACAAATTCGTACGACAAAAACTTTAAATATCATATTGACATCGATATTACTTTTTCGTTTTTTTTTGTCACATTGACATACAGATTATATATGTATGTACAACAAACACACACAAACAGAAAAATCACCGATATGGCTACAATTTTTCGCCCCCACTTGTTATATTACAAATAAATATTATTATTGTTTGGCAATATTGTTTTTATTACCCTCCGGTAATACATCTGTTATGTATCGAATTTGTTTCGTGTCGTTTTTTCAACTTTTTTGTTTTTATTATAGATAATTTTTTGGTGATGCTTGTTTGCCAATTTATCTTTTCTGTTGTTGGTAAATAAGTCCGAATACAAATATGCTGGGGTTTCGTGTTTTGTTTGATGTATTTAAAAAAAGTAAGCAAGTGAGAAAGCGTTAAGCTCGGCCGGGCCGAAATGTGGATATCCTCCACCATAGATATACTGACAGGTACTAGAAATCAAAATAAAGGGAACATACCAAAAAGTGGACCTATACCGACATGTCTAAAAACGGATTATGTAAACCATAATACAAATTTCAGAAATTTTTAATAGATAATTCAAATTCGAAGATGGGGAATATCGGTCCACTCCGTCTGAAACCTCCATACAGGGGCTAGGTCTAAATGCGGCTATAGCTCATTATCGAACCTTACGTTCTAATTTTTTATCTCGCTATCCTCCGCAGGTGAAATGATTACAATAGAGTCTTAGAATCAAACTCAAAACGCGTAACAAATCAGATAACTATTTAATATAATAAAAGGGGGTTATATGGGGACTACCCCAAAAAGGGGGCGAATATTAGTAGTTTTTGGTAGAGAGATTTGTTACCATATACGACTACAAAACACCAAATTACAGCGAATTCGGTTGAAAACGCGCTCAAGAACCCCAAAATACCGAAGATTGGGGGTACCCTTATATGGGGGCTAACCGAAAAAATTGACCTATATTTATAATTTTTGTGGAGAGATTTGGTACCTATTAAGAACTCAAAATACTAACCCAATAAGAACCCAATGTACCAAATTTCAGAGAATTCAGTTGAAAAACTTGAACATCGAAAATTGGGGGGGTAACCTTATATGGGAGCTACCAGAAAAGTATTTATAATATTTAGTGGAGAAATTTGGTACCCAGTGAGAACACAATGTACCGAATTCGGTTCAAAAATGCACTCAAGAACCCCAAAATACTGTAAATTTGGGGGTACCCATATATGGGAGCTATGCCTAAACGTGGACCGATATATCCCATCTTCGAACTTGACCTGCCTGCAGACGATTTGGCGATTTATCTCATTTCGTTTAGAGGCTTGAGTGATTAAAAAATATATTTTCCAAAGACCATAAAGACGAAGATTTAATAAAAATATTTTTTTCCAAAGACCATCAAAGCGTAGATTTTTTATGATTTTTTAAAAACATTTTTTCCAAAGATACTCAAAGCGTAGTTTTTTCCAATGACCATCAATGTCAAGATTTTTTTTTACTTTTCAAAAATCTACGCTTCTGTAGTCCTTTCAAATTATTCTTAAATTTCTAAGGAGAATCACATAAAAATTTATTTTTATTTTATAAATATTGTATTCAATATTTGTTCTCCTTGCCTTCTTTTTGGTTTGTCTCCCCACTGACACATATTGAAAAACTTATGTTAACATCTTGGGCTGTCAAAAGAAATGTTTGTCCTGGGACTAACACATATGAATTTTCGGTACGAAGTGATTTCGATTTTTTTGTTGTGTTATGTTTGAACTCCCAATGGATTCGTAAACGAGAAGAG